AACAAATTTGATTCGTCTGTCGATTCCACCAAATCTAAATCAAAAGTACGCTATACCAAATTCCATGGCGATCTATGATGCTAGAAGAGAGTGCCATGGTATTCCATAATGGTTTTCTGTATAAATCTTCAGAGAACAGGTATAATTAAAATTGCCCCTATACATTATACTACTTCTGTATTCTATTTTAAATATATTTATTGGAATATTATATCATTACATGATAATATTGGTCACAACTCACAACACCTCACTGTATTTCATTTTTATTATTATTTATCAGAGTGTCACAATTTATACTTCCAAAAGTCAGTTCATTTTTTAGTCTAGCATATTCATAGCATCTGCAATGATACTGCCTAAATATACAATTTAAGATAGATTACTCAAGTTATATACTTCACTTTTGACAAGAGCAAACAATATTTGTCACTTTCATAAGAGGCACAAATAAAAAATGCCTATGTACTATAACTAGAGACTGACGGGTATTATGCTGCATTGAATAAAATATTGTGAATAATTCTGTTGTGAAATATGAGCCTTTGCATTGGGACTAAGTTACTACTGACAATGTAAACGGCATCAAATTAAGAAAAAAAATAAAGAATAATGCCAAAATCAATGTTCTTTCCAAGAATTTTCCCTATAAGTAAACATAAAATGTCTATAAATTTGTCCAAATTTGTTCAAGTTGAAGCAAACCTGTTTTAAAAATCACAAAAACCTTTAAGTACTAACTTGCTTTAACAGAATATATAAAGTAGAAATTAACAAAGCTGAATCAGTTTAACCCTCTTTAGTTCTGAGCCTCATGAAATATAGAACTGTTATGTAAGTACAAATGTACAGGGTGGTTAATAAAAATGGCAACCCTGCTACTATTTCCTCATATCTTTGTCGTTCTAGGTAATTACTCCCTGATATTTTACACATCTGTACATCATTCAATTTCCCATCAGCTTACTTATTTCACGACCATAAGAGTTAAAGTCACAATGTTACAGCATTTTAACATGCTACAGTGGCCACTATTACGCTGTAGGCAAACCTGCACATGTCTATGTGTTGCCCAAAATGTCCGTACCTGACATCTTCCTGTCAGGATATACCAAAGGCAGAGCTACAAGAATGGCCTCAGGACAATTACACACCTCAAAAGAGAGATCATCCATGTCATTCAGGCCAAACCTGCTGAGGAATGAAGTCAAGTCATTAATTACTTGTGCAGGTTTGCCTACAGTGTGATGATGGCCACACCTGGAGCATGTTCATAGTGCTGAAACATTGCAACTGTCAATCTGATTGTAATGAAATATGGGAAGGATGGGAGGAATATTATTGGGCCCGACCCCTTGGGTGTGTATAGGCGGGTAGACGTTCCCCTCGTAAAATTGCTTATTTCTCAAGGATGAATAATGCTAGGGACAATTCCCAGGTACCATCATTTGCATCATTATGTCCTCTTTCATATGGTATAAGATCTTCTATTTTCCTCCATGTCCATAGATGACTGAGCAATATGGGATTTAAGTGACCATGTCAGAAATGGGTTTGTGCCACTTTCAGCCAAGTCAATTACTCAGATGCGAGTAGGTAGTTACCAGTTTCACCACCAGGTGGCTGATTCGGGGGAATTAACATGGCAGGGTATTACAAGATTCCCTTAAACTTGAATATGCATCAGTTTTAGTGGTTCACTTTTCATATTACCTTTATGTATCTGATAGTTATACAAATTAAAATATGACCAGTAAAAGAAAATATTATCTGCCCAACACAAGAAGAGATATATCATTTTTTGTGGTTTTACAACATGGGGTCTATGGGGAATCTCTCCGACCTAGAAGTCACATTTTCTAAGAAAATTAAATTTTCAAAGTTGATAAACTCTTTTCAAAACCAGATTTCTAAAGGTAATTTTACATGTAGATTCCAAATATGACATCAGTTTGACTGAATTATGAATATTTAATGACGTAAATCAAGATTATTTCTACTCGCATCTGGGATATTCACTATCATAACACAACAAACATCAGGCTATTACGCTTTTTCTCATTCATTCCAATTAAAGTTACACATATCATATTTAACACCCCTTTTCAATCCTAATGACCATTCCATATGTTTTATCCCCAGTCTCCTTCAACATGACCCCCATTCCTCTCAAGGCAGATGTCTGCCCCAGATCTCATCACACGTACTGCATCCCTGATGATGTCTCTCACTCCCCTTAGATCCTCAACTGCTGCAAAAATCCTGGGCCTTAGATTATCAATGCCTCTTGGAAATGTTGTGTGGATTTTATCCTTGAGATAATCCCAAAGGAAGAAGTCACAGGGTGCAAAACCATCCTGGCATAGCCATTTTAATCCCCCATTGTTCAGACATTCATGACAGAATGGCACAAACCTATTTCTGACATGGTCGCTTATATCCCTTAGAACTCAGTTATTCGTGAAGAAAAATAGACACCTTTAGATTCATTAGAAAGAGAACATCATAACCTGTCAGATGGTAGCTGTGAAATGATCATATTATCATTCATATTTGAGAAATAAGCAATTTAATCCCGGTTTCCTTTTTTGAGACAGTGAGACACCCTGTATTTTCCCAGGAACATCTGCGTTGACTGAACTTGGTTGAATAATCACATGTTGAAGTTATGGTACTCTTTAGAGTAACCTATACATATTAGGGATCCCACGATTGCTCGATGCACCGATATAATTGCTAGAAATCACCTCCAATTCGATTAATCGATATGGATCCTCTATTTTCGATATTATCGATAATCGTTTTTCAAATCAACTTACCCGTTAAGTAAGTAAAAGAGCTCTATTAAACCAAAATTGACACAGCAAAACTCAGCGAAAAATTAAAAATATTTTGAAGAGCTCATATGAGCTCATATTCAAATGTAAAAAATTGGAGTTTATCAGAAAATCCCATATTGAAAAACTTGAAAACCTGTGTCGTAATTTTAAAAACATGAATGACCACCAAAAGACAATTTTTCTATTGACGAGTGAGGGGATCATATTAAAAGAATCTGCTGACATGATAAAGTATCTAATGATGGGTAGAGACAGGATTCTTATATCAAAGTAACATTTTATATGTCATTTGAAGAATGTAATCCTATTTTCTTTACTTTATTGCCTATATTTACTGTTATTGAAAATTGTATATTGGATGTACGTTTGGCCCTAAAAGGGCATCAGTACTAATAAAATCCTATTATTACATATGACGCGCCACAAATTTTCTTGATTCAAACCGAACGTGAACTTTTTAGCAATAAACGGATTTTCAATAATTTTGCGAACATTTGTGATTTTAGATGCCATATGTGCATTTCCACACCAAACATTATACCATTAATTATCTAAATACGTAATAAATGCGACAGGGCCCCAGACGTATCTTTATTTTAATGTTTTAAGATGTTATAGTAGCTTTCCAATTTGCGTTATATTTAGCGAACAACAATCAAACATGACGTTCGGATATTTAATGAATAGCGCAAACATCGGCGAGATTTAAATCCCGTAAATTTGCTTATATTCGTAATATGGAGAACACCATCGCAATAAACACAACCCAAAAGGTAAGTCTGAGGTGTGGAGGTCTATTAAAAACCCAACATTCAATAACAACACAACTTTCTACGCTCAGAAGGGTAACTTTTTTTAGCGGGGGACTCGGACCCCCTCCCCCCATGTATAAACAGACATTTACATGAATATGTGTATCGTATCGTTTGTATCGAATCGTTTTCATAATATCGAGATACGTATCGAATCGAAAAAATATGTATCGTGGGATCCCTAATACATATGTATAGAGTAACTTCAGGATGTAAATATTCTTTCAGGTTCGTTCACCTTACTTGAGTCTAGCCAAATTACTTGGCTAGAAGACATGGCATGTCGACAACCGTGCACTAGTGAAAACGTTTATTCTGGAGTAAAAAAAAATTTGATGTTATTCTAAAAATATCAATTAGAATTCAAACGGACAATGTCCTACATTGCATGCCTTCGCCTAAACTTAAAATCACCGGATCTGCCATTCTTTAAAACATCTGTTAAGGTTGAATTTTATCTCGCTATAGCGAAAAATAAAATGGCCGTTTTTACCGAAGAAAACAGACAGACATATGAACTAAGGCTACATACTAAGTTCAATGAATGTTTACTACATTTTAGTTCATTAAGGTTCAGCTGGAAAGTAACATTTTGGTAAAAATTGCTATACCTACACATGTTATTTTCTGGTGCAAAATTAAGTATGAAGGCATGTGTGTATTTCCTTGCTTTTTGCAGGAAAGTATTATTACATTGTCTACTTTTAGTAAACCTGGATACAGGTCAATGTTTGGTCCTGTGTTGTCTGGAAACTTTGAAAGACAATTTGGAAAAATAGAAAGTGTGAAATATCAGAATTTCCATTGACCTCTTACCAGATATACTAAAACAAGACAATGTAATGATACTTTCCTGAAAAGAGCAAGGAAATTAACACATGCCTTCATACGTTATAGTGCACCAGAAAATAACATGTGCAGGTATAGCAATTTTTTACCAAAATGTTATTTTCCAGCTGTACCTAATAGCAACAGATGAGAGATAGGGTAAAAAGCGCTAAAACAAACAGGGCTTGATGATAGCGTAAGGCCACGCTGTGGCCGAAGAATAAGGTAATGGTCACCAATCGACGTCAGGTATTGATCCATGTTTATGTCTTTCTAAATGGGAGGTCCATCAAAAAAGTGGTCAATTACCAAGTTCAACTGTGACAGATTATAAACCACATTATAATAACAGAAGTATATAAATGTATTCACTACGATATAGTCTATATATACTCATGTAGAAGTCTATATATACTCATGTAGATATGGATCGCAAAACTTTGCAACAAAGTTACAAACTATCGATCTCAAATAAGACGAGTCAAAAACTTTTCGAGGTCAACAAATAAAGTGATTTTACCTCCATTAAGATCTGATAAACATCCCAATTCGTATTCCCAGCTTGTCACCCAAGATTTAACTGCATTGTCACTTAAAGATGGACTATGATCCGAACTGGTTTCATCCATTTTCATGATAAAATGTTTAGATGTGATTTTTCAAAAGTTTTGTCGGCCATCTTGTTTATAATCATTTTACTTCTTCAGCGGGAGTGTGTATCATCGGAACAGCCAAGTATTGTTTTAACAAATATACAATTTGCCTTTTTAGATAAAAAGTAGCATTCGAATGTGAAGTAAAATACACATATATTCCCCCGCTAAAATTTACCCAACGAGAAAACATGCGGATCTAAAGAGACTAAGGTCTAAAATCAATTATATTAAGGGAGGTGAATAGATTTTCAATTAAAAGTATCTGGGCCAGTTAACCCTTGGTAGCTAAAGTAAAAAAACAAACTTGCTGACAAAGTTCACGATGCCCTATTTTCTATTGAAAAATAAAAAGCATTCATTGTCACAATACAAAGAAAAAGTTCACCAAATCAGAGATAAAATGACAATTTATAGATGACCTTTGAGGGTCAATTAAAAATCAAAACAATTACCCTGGTTTTACAATTTCAATAACAAGCATCCACCTCTACAGTTTGGAACATAAATAAATAACAGGTGTATTTTCTATCACTATTTCCTAATCATGGCCGTTTAAAAGCCCATAGTTTCCAATAATGTCTTGATACATATCATAGCCGTAGGGACCGGGGGTTCCGTGGGTTCGGACGAACCCCCGGTCAGGGTTTCCCCCAAAAATATTTGTGGAAAACCAGAAACATTAAATTCAATTTATATGACCAGTAAATAAAAACATAATAAAGTTGTACAATTCTCTCCAAAAGTTTGGCAACCTTAGGCAAGGGTTGGGATTGTCTAATTTTGAGAAGACCCCGGATCATCATGACATTATGCAAAGAAATAACAATAATTTCGCACAACTTAAAAGCTGCTTCATATCCGGTGAAATAAACCAAATGTCTCAATACTAACAAATTGATTTAGTTTTGCAATATTTCGATTTACTCTTTAAATCTTTTTCAAGCAACCATCACTTCGATTTCTTTTGTGATGTGACTGCTATATACTTAGGCCATAGCCAAGATTTCTCAAAAGAGTTTTGCTGAATTTCAATGGACATTTGTAACGCTCGTGCTCCCCAATTCACGTGTGCACCTCCATATACAGGTTGACCCAGAAAAATTACCCTCTCATTTTAGTATAAGTTTTAGTTTTAAAATGATCACATTTTCCATCCAGGTATGGTCTAGTGATATTGTCCAAAAATATTGAAAATGCAATTTTCTGAAGTTGAGATTTCTGTCTTAGCCATTATTTGAGCCATTTCTGGATTGCTTTCATACATACATTATCAATAGAATGTAAAATCTACCCTTTTAACAATTTAACACTCGTCAAATATGATGCACTGACTGCTTATAAGGTAAATTCCAATGATTTATGCATTTAATTCTCTATCTACACAAAAAATCATGAAAAGTCCTTTAAAACGGAGATATAGTTATTCCCAAATTAAGGGGTGACGTTTTTGGGGTCACCTGTACTTGGACTTGAATTTGAATTTTGAATTTTATATTTTCAATTCAAAGAAAGAACAAATGGGTATTTTCAGCACTATAGTAGGTGTCTTTTGTTGTAAGGCATTGCAATTTGAAAGAGGTTTAATTTTAGAGCCTACGGAGACCATAGATATCGTGTTATTTTAATTTGGTCAGTTTGGAATTTCAGCCTATGTTTCATTTTTTACAAAACTAATTATCAACTGCCGCTTCTATCAATTAAAGTAGCTCTAAAGACTTTTTTGTACTATTAATAATTCTTCAATTCAATAACTAAATTTAAGGTCATTATGAATGAACACTCCTCTATTATAAAATTATATACCAAATAAAATATTTTTATTTTGAATTTTTTTAGAAAAATCATAATCTCAGTATTAAATTGTGGGAATTGCATGTTTCAGAATTTGACATCTTTGTGTGAACTTTGGATCGTCGGTTCCCACGCTCAATCACTACGCAGTCAAGCCACGAATCTCTTTCACATTTGATCAATATAAAAGTTGAAAAAATGAAATTTTAGATTGAGATATAAATGCATATACCATTAGCCATGGGGTTTAAGAAGGTTTCTCAAAATATTTTTATTACCCTTTAAACAATTACTTGATTGTGCATCAAAACGTAAATATACTCTTAAATTGCTGGTCTCGATGATGCTGCATACATAGGCTTATATTGATTCATGTTTCAAAATTAATTTTGAGTTTAAAGATAAACTAATGTATTAAGTTTGAATTATTTAGTCACATGAACAAAAATAAATTGCAATAGCTGTTGTTTATCTTAAACAAGAGAATTTTATTAAGATAATCATTGAAATACATTGTTTTGAGTTTCCCTAAAGATAATTAATTTCAAGATTTTGTTTTCTAAGCTAAATAATATGCCAAGTCAATTCGTCGATCGACAAAATGAATGTACAAATTAGACACACATGTCTTCTTACATCAAAATACAACACTGTTACGAATAGGTCAATCACTCCTCCTTGTGATATTAAGTGTTATTTAACAGTGTCGCTGATGGTCGCTGAGGTTTTTAAACAATAAAGTTTACATAATTTACACATTTAAGGTCGTCTTTTATTGCAATTAAAGCATTTGAATATTTCTCCAATGAGTATCCCCTTTACACGAGAACATTTCCCGGAATCATAGTAGATGGGGTACTAAAGGCCGACGCTTCAATGTGGTTGAAAGAGTGGAAACGTCAGAGGGCGTCGATGCTTTTGACGTACTGGGTGTCGGGTGTGCTCGTCGTGTGATCCGTTTTGGTTTTAAAAATGGTTGCTCGGTGACCACCTTAGCTGCCTGCTGGGTCTTCCTAACGGTAATAAGGTTGTTCCTTTGCCAACCACAGGGTGAGGATGACGTATCTGTTCTGCATGCGTCACAATAGCACGATAATTCTCGCGTTTAAACAATATTATCGGAAACCCCTCTCATAGCATTGATTCGAAAGGTACCTGGTACTGGTTTAAGTCCGGTCGCCTTATCTTCAATGTTTTAATAATGCGCTCTGGGATTTCTTGGATTTTCATTTGTGTCCTGGCAGTTTCACTTTTAGACTCTGAGCGTTCCCTTCAGTCTGGCGTATTTTGATTGTTTCTCTATACACTTGGCGTATGCGTGCCCTGTATTCCCGGGATGCCTTGTTGTTCTTTTCTCTGATCTGTTGAAGAGCTTCAGCAGACAGGTTATTTCTCGGTGTATACGATGCTCGCTGTCGCAATCGTTCTTGCTCTAAGTAGCCTTTGGTATCTTTCTTTTTCTTTCTCCCCCTGTACTGTAAGCCTAGTCTGTAGGGAACGACGGCACTTCTCGGCGTTGGTGAGTGCCATATTCTTATATCATCAGAAAGGTCTGATAAGTAAGACAGATATACTAATGAGAGTGTGGGAAGTTATGCACATTAATAAAATGTCACAAAACTGATAATCCCAATGAAATATTTATTGTTTTACAATAATGGCAAGAAATACATTTCGTCTAGTACTTAGTACACTGAACGAAACGTTTATGAATTAAGAAATATCGGGGAATGTGCATCTATATTTGTCAGTGATTTTATAAAACTATGAACTGCTCAATCATCCCAATTCTTGTGTCACATTACCTTAGCATTTCAAGACAAACAGAATATGCATCATAAGTAAATAACATGATCTGCTTAATAGATTCAATTTTACTTATCACTATGCGTTGTAATCACAATGAACAATATGCTCTAAATCCTTAGCTCGGTATCACTGTAAAATGGTACACATACAACAATATAGTCATTTAACGAATGTAGGTTCATTCAACAAATATATAGCGTTCGATTATACATGTGACCTACTTAATATGTGGATAGTTTTTTGGAGTCGTATGTGGTGGAGTCGTTGATGGTCCTAAATATCTCAATCTTTACGTGGTCAAAGAATAACATCAATAAAGCGTATTTTTATATTATCAATATATATTGAGACAAACCGTCATCACCATTACTTAACATTGAAACCTGATTTTGATTGAAAGCAGAGTGCAAAGACAACGTACTTGTAGAGTCGATGATGATTTTGAAAAATAGTACTTTGCGTCGAAAAATACGTAACAAGCTAAATATGTCATATTCAAATGTATTGTGAAAATGTTTTACATCCGTTAATATGACAATTTATATTTCAAAGAAGTAAATGGGGGATTATCATGAATAGTGCAGAGGCTTCTCGACACCGTTGATTTCAAGCATGGTGTCGATGATGGTGCCTTCGAGGGCTACACATACTTAATGTCGATTTTCCAATAGTAAATTAGCAAATAAATTAATTCCAGCTAACGTACAATCGACACGATGCAGTCTTTGTGATGAAATAGTCAATTATTATAACAAAACACTTTTCAGAATATAAAAAAGTTACTGTCAATCAACACAAGGGTGATCGGTTACAAGGCAAAAAATGATAGTTTGGAATGTTCGACGATTGATAATGCGTTCAGCTTTTATAACCCTGAGATTAAAACTAAATGATATTTTGCAAGATTAAGAGACGTTTAATTTGATACCAAATACTCATTGTAGAGCGTATATTAAATAGCGGAATAAAAACATGTAGTCGTGTAACATAAAATTCGTTATAATGAAAGGAATACGTGACTTGAGTGTACGTTCTATCCCGAGGTGAGGATGGGTTCGAAGCTTGATGAAGCAAGATGTAAAGTTTGTGTGAACTCTTAAGTCTATCTCTCTAAAGTAGCTCGTTTTAAAAAGAGGCATATGTTCCTTAAAGATGTGTTAAGATTTGCCCTTAAACTTAGCTAAATATATGTTAACTCATCGTGAGATATCACAGCCTTCTCTCAGTTTCCTTCTATTCTTGTGCATAGCAGAGATGGTCTGAGTATCAGAATGATGTTAACCCTTGATTTGAATTTTATTAAACAAATGTAATATTAAAATCATGACCTTGCCTTCAGATTTCAGGATATCTATTGAGTAAAAGATTCGCCA